CCACACACATCACACACCACAAACACACGCCCCAACCCCCCACCACACACATATATGACACACACCCCACACCACACACCATATATACCACATACATACCACATGCCCCACATACACCACACACACACCGCCGACACACACCACACAGTCCCACATACACCACACACACACCGCCAGCACACGCCACACACATCACACACACCACACACACACCACACACACACCGCCAACACACTACACCACACACACACCGCCAACACACACCACACAGTCCCACATACACCACACACACACCACCAACACACACCACACACACCACACACACTCCCACATACACCACACACACACCGCCAACACACACCACACACATCACACACCACAAACACACACCCCAACCCCTGCACCACACACATATACCATACACCCCACACCACACACCATATTTACCACACACACACCACACGCCCCACATACACCACACACACACCCCCAACACACACCACACACACTCCCACATACACCACACACACACCCCCAACACACCCCACACACATCACACACATACCCCACACACATCACACACCACAAACACACGCCCCAACCCCCCCACCACAAACATATATCACACACACCCCACACCACACGCCATATATACCACACACACCCCCAACATATACCACACACACACACACCACACACCGTACCACACACACATAATACCTATCACACACACCACACATATACCACACACCACATACACGCACACGCACACAATCCTGACAGCCTCCACTGAGGCGGGGGCTAGGAGTGGGCAGATAGGGGCAGACCTGAAAGGAAACATTCAGGTGACAGGAGATGGACTGAAACTCTTCAGCCCCAGGACTAAGCCTCGATAACTCCTTCACGAAAAGTGTAGGAATTCAGATTCTATGTAAGAAGCCATTCCCTTTAAGCTTAGGAACCGCTTATTGAATACCCGCTATGTGCCAAGCACAGTAGTTTATACTTTGTAATATTATCTCAAATTCTTACAGCAGTTCTTTAAGGTATACATTACTTCACTTTACACGGTAAAAAAACCTGAGGCTTAAAAAAGGTTGTAACTTGGTCAGGATCAAACAAGTAATAGGTAGTATAACCAAGTAAATTTAAATACAAGTCTTTTGGGCCTCAAAGCACACTCTCATTTCATTATGGTCCACCACCAAAATACAGATTTTTTCGAACGGAAGTCCAAGTTTCAAGAACCTACAGTCCCCTGACTTCCCGTTGCCCTCCAGTCCTCCTCCCTAACCCAGACTCCTCAACTCCCCCAGCTGCTCCACAGCCAATGGAGAGAAAGACAGTATCACCCTCCTCTCCATGAAGAACATCAACATGAACAACAGCAAAGGAGGCCTCTCAGCAGAGAAGGTGCCTTGTTCTGTTTCCTTCCTTACTTCCCCAACTCACCTTCCCCCTCCTCCTCCTCCCGTCAGTCCCCAGTTCCTTAGCCAGAAAGGAGATACTTTCAAAGACCCAGGCTCTTTTTCCCTCTTGCCTACCCCACCACTCCTAAGTTCACCCTTCCTCATTATGCATTTATTTTGCAGGTTCTTTAAAAGTGACTTTGGGTCCCCATGAGTCCAAGGATGATGCAGCTGCCCCTTGACTGTGAGGAGGAAGAGATGGGATTGGTAGAGGGAATGAATCATATATAAATTATTTTATCATTTTGTGTCTGCCCCCAGATCTAAAGGACACTAGCATTCCTCTAGGTCTGGGAGCAAGCTACCAATATAAGAGACCCCTTCCCACATGGACAGCCACTCTAGGAATACAGCCTGCTCCTTCTACCTTCTCGTGGTCCCAGAAAAGAGGAGTTGGTAGAGCAAGAGCAAGGAAAATGACGAGGTGGATCAATCCTTTCTACTTTGCATTAAAATTATTTTCTGGCCTGCAGTCTAATTTATTTTTCATCTTTTTTTTTTTTTTAGAGACAGGGGTCTTAGTCTGTCACCTAGGCTGGAGTGCAGGGGTGTGGTCATAGCTTGCTGCAGCCTTGGATTCCTGGGCTCAAGTGATCCTCCTGCCTCAGCCTCCGAGTAGCTGGAACTACAGGTGTGAGCCACCAAGCCAGGCTAATTTTTAGAACTTTTTGTAGAGATGGGCTATGTTGCCAAGACTTGTCTTGAACTCCTGGCCTCAAGTGATCCTGCCACCTTGGCCTCCCTAAGTGTTGAGATTACAGTCATGAGCCACCATGCCCAGCCCTAATTTCTTTTTAAGATTTGTGCTCATATGCACATTTCTTAACAAAATGTTCTAGCGGCTCTGGGGCCAGGCATGCATACGAGTGTCTGCCCGTGTGGGCAGCTCTCTGAGAAACTTGGGAGGGAGAAGGGACTCTTTCTCAGATCTACCTTGGTTCACCTGGTTTATTAAGTAGGGTTGAGGCAACTGACTAACCACCCCAACAGAAGAGAGAAACAGGGGGCTATAAACAGTGACCAATTGTCACCAATAAAGAAGTTTTAAACCTGGAGAGTGAGAACCTGGGAGCACAACACATTTTGCCTGGGAAACTCCAGTGAGGAGAGCTGAATGACGTGATGGCAAATGTCCTCTGCCTGCCCCGGGGTGGACATGCATCACTTTGGTCCTGGCCATGGGATGAGCACTGGGAAGGTTTGCCGTGAGGACAGGTTTGTGACCAAAAGCCCAACAACTTTACCCCATACAGCTGTTATCTTTGTGTCCTAGAAATAGAATAAAGGATTGCAGAAATACTGTAAAGTCATTTAAAAGAAGGAGGAAAAGAGGCTTGAGCGTGGTGGCTCATGCCTATATTCCTACCTAGCACTCTGGGAGGCTGAGGTGGGAGGATCACTTGAGCTATGGAGTACGAGACCAGCCTAAGCAACAGCAAGACTCCATCTCTACTAAAAAATAGAAAAATTAGCCAGGTGTCATGGTACGAGCGTTATGTAGTCCCAGATACTTGGGAGGCTGAGGCAGGAGGATCGCTTGAGCCCAGGAGTTTGAGGTTGCAGTCACCTATGATGACGCCACTGCACTCTACCTCTACGTGGGCGACAGAGCGAGACTGTCTCAAAAAAAAAAAAAAAAAGAAAAAAGGAGGAAAGGAAAGGAAGAATCTGTTTTCTTAGTAATAGCCATGTCTACCATGACACTGGTTTGGAAATGAATCTTGGTTGGAGAGAATTAACGGAAGAGTGATCAGCCTGTGTCTTCAGGGAGTGTTTAACTTTATAAGCACCTGCTAATCAGCAGTTTGGAACACAGGGAGAACACGGTTTACTCATTCAGAAGCAACAATATGCTATTTTCTTCTGGCTTAGACTTCATAACTTGATATGAGAGAGAAAGCCTTGAACAAAAAGTTTCACTCTCTCTGTCCCATTAAAACTATTAAAGTGAGACTGAAGAAACCTACTGGATTCTAAAATCCTCTAGGGCAGGGCCTGAAACCTGCTCACGTATATAGTTCCTGTGTGACATGCTGTGCCCAGCACATCCTAGGGAATAAAAACTGGCTCTTGGGTGAAGGAAATCTGGTTGTAAGGTTGGGCTCCGCCGCAGACTTGCAGCTTGAAACCATCCCCCTTTTCCAAGCCTGTTTTCTTACTTTTAAAGTGAGGTGGCTAGACTACTTGGCCTTCACTATCTTTTGTAGTTCTTATGTTCCACAGTTCTATCTACTCTAAATGTAAGAAATAAATGAACACAGTCCATTGAGTAGAGACCACTTCAGGTGGGAGCTGGGGACAAGTCTTAGGAGACTCCAGGCAAGGCTTTGACATTCTCAGGACTTCCATGTCCCTGTGTATTAACAGGGAAGAATGACTCCGACGTGGCCCTGTCTACCTCACAGGCTACTGGGCAGGTGAAAGAGAGTAATGCATGTGCAGATGCTTGGGAAGCCGACAACCTGGGGCACCACCGCCCAGGCCCCGCTTCGGGACCGAGGCACTCGTTCCCCCGCTGCTGGGAGTTTTGGGTGGGGATGAAGACCTGGACCCTTGCCTCAATTTCCCACCCTGCCCAATCCTCCTTCCCTTACTCCTTACAGCTGTTGTTCCCAGGACTCACCAATAAAACTTCAGCATACAGATGTCAGTCTCAGAGTCTATTTCCTGGGGTACCCAACTTATGACAACAATACTACAGTATTTTAAAAATAATTTATACGTATTTAAGTCATTCTGCAAAAAGCACGTGACTTACTAGCCAGTTCTGGTACAAAAATCCACCATTGTAATGGAACCCTCCAGATGACATAACAATGTCTAGAAGTACTGGATTCCGTTTGAATTGTTATCGTTATTCTAACTGCCATGGGCACTTGGTTCAGCTGCTTACCATACTGGACTAATCAGGTCAAGGACATGGGTTTCGCTCTAGGTAACTCTGTTGACACCTCCATTATAAGGCCACAGATTTTCCTCTGATTCTGGACAATGTCCTGCAAATGTGAGCTGTTAGTAAAAAGGTATTTATATGTGGGGGAAGGGGATTAGCTAGCATTAGTAATCTTTGAGACTGAAAGGCTTTTATCCTGACACACCACAGTACCACGTTAGCCATGCGGATTTTCCTGTTACTAAGTAACTCTATTCTCTGGGAAGGGGTTGAGTATGAACTCAATGCCAAATTCTGCTCTGGAGCAAACTATATTAGAGGGGGTTCTGCTGGAGGATCAGCATACTTGCATACTATTTATGCAAATATAAGATTCCACCTCTGACAGGAAACTGAGCGTGGCCTTCTGAAGCTCTTGCAGCTTCCGAGACATCTCTTCCTTGATGTCTAGACAACAGGGTGGTGGCCGTTTACAAGACGACTTCCTCTCTTTTCCCACACAGGACTACATGGTCCTAAAGCAGGAACAGGTGCCTGGGGTGTGGGTCGGGGGTTACTGCAGAGTGTCCTTCTCTCATTTCTTCCCCCATCCATGGCGGGGAAACGAACAAACCAGCTCAGGCACACAGGTGCCGTCGGTCAGGGCGATCAGTTATTCAGCATCTTTCCTGCAGGGCTGGATGGGGCAGCATCTCATTCATATAGTGCACATGACAAACCTCAGTATCACCAGCAAGAATTCACTACAGTTCAAAAAAAGTCTTGAGGAAATGATAAAGTAGAGAAAACTGACAGAAACCTAAGGCTGGCCCTAAAGTAAGATGGTTTAGCAGATGAAGGATCACTGCAGGCCCCCTTGGCCTAGTTCTGGCACACACTTTCCCCAAGCCAGGCTAGCACTACTAAATTCTATTCAAATCTGCTGGAAAATATTGTGTGACTGTTTCCTCCTAGATTTGTGGATGCCTTCCTTTCTCTCCCCTTGGAAGTTTTCTTTTTGTTTTGGTTTGGTTTTTTGTTTTTTTTTTGAGACAGAGTCTCACTCTTTTGCCCAGGCTAGAGTGAGTGCCGTGGTGTCAGTCTAGCTCACAGCAACCTCAAACTCCTGGGCTCAAGCGATCCTCCTGCCTCAGCCTCCCGAGTAGCTGGGACTACAGGCATGCGCCACCATGCCCGGCTAATTTCTCTATATATTTTTAGTTGTCCGATTAATTTCTTTCTATTTTTAGTAGAGACGGGGTCTCGCTCTTGCTCAGGCTGGTCTCGAACTCCTGAGCTCAAACAATCCGCCCACCTCGGCCTCCCAGAGAGCTAGGATTACAGGCGTGAGCCACCGCGCCCGGCCTGGTTTGGTTTTTTTAAGACAGAATCTCACTCTGTCGCTCTGGTAGAGTACAGTGGCATCATCATAGCTCCCTGCAACCTCAAACTTCTGGGCTCAAGGGACCCTCCTGCCTCAGCCTCCCAAGTAGCTGGGACTATAGGCATGCACCATGATGCCCAGCTAATTTTTCTATTTTTAGTAAAGATGGGGTCTCGCTCTTGCTCAGGCTGGTCTCAAACTCCTAACCTCAAACAATCCTCCTACCTTGGGCTCCCAAAGTGCCAGGGTTACAGGCATGAGTCACCATGCCCCAGCCCCCAACCTCATTTTATAAGCGAAGAGACTGAGGTCAAAAAGGAGAAGGAAAAAGGAGTTGGTCAGGATCACACAATAATTTATGGCAAAACCTCAACTATAACCTCTATCTAATTTCTGGGCCAGTGCTTTTTCCACTGAAAGGCCTTGTTCTCTCAGAGTTCTGAGTGTATGATGTTCGGGAAGCCAGGGCCGTGGCTGCAGGGAAAGGCTGGAAGTGCGCGCTATCTGGGGCTCTGACACTTCCAGTCTGTGTACAGGATTATACCTCTCCACAACTTCCCTCCCCTCCCAACTGCCGAAGTAGCTGCTGGTTGATACCATAATTGATTTGGTCTTCTTGGTTAAGGTCTCAGTGAAATCCAGGTAATTTTTTGTTTGGGGATGAACGTAATCATTTTTCCCTTTTATAGATATGATCTTTGGCCATCCCAACCTACACACCTGCAGGCAAGAGTCAGCGAGGGAGGACACTGTAGCCATGAAGAAAGAGTTGCTTTTATTCTTTGCTAGCCTCCATGTAAACTAGAGTGGGGAACAGCAGGAATATTTCCTCATTTCCTTTTTACTGTTAGAGACTGGTCCTTCAGAAAAGAAAGGAACCGGCTAAGGAAACCAGAAAGAAGAAAAAGTGTTGGGGGGTGCTTGAGTAGGATGGATTGGAGAAAGGACAAGAGCAGCAAAGACAAGGGCTCTTATGCCAGCCCCAGTACCAGTCCTTTTCTTCCTTCTCTACACCTGACTCCTAGTGGTCGCTCTGATGATGCAGTGCCTGAGGACCTGAGGGAGGAGAGGCAAACCCAGACTGTCCTTTAACCCCGTAAATCCTGGCTCTTAAGCTTCCCAGGGCTGGCGTCGGCATCCCCCAAACCCATCTCTGAATCTCCAGGGCCTAGCCCAGATTTTGCATAGAATAGGCTTTAGTGTATATTTAAAAAGGACATCC